AGATAAGCTCAAAAATGGATGATGCTGACGTCAGCAACACTTACCCTTCTCCCTCTCTATGTATATAAAATGGCATGGCTTTCCCTGACCTCAAAACCCAACACATTTCCCCCCTCCCTCCACAGATTGATTTTGCTCATCAGATAAGAAGAAGAAGAAGAAGAAGAAGAAGAAGATGCTGGCAATATTCAACAAAGGATTGGTGGATCCACCAAAGGAGCTGAAGATCCCGGCAGACGCCTCCCCGCCGCCGTCCGGAAACCTCGTACCCCCTCGGATCGCCGTCGCCAATTTCAACCGCTCCTCCTCCAGCGATGGCTTTTCTCTAGGGTTTGGCGATCGGGCATTTCTCGCCTTTTCCTCCCCCAACCATAACTCTTCCTCCCCTTTCTCCCCCCAGAGGTATGGCGTCTAAATATCCAATCGATTGCGGACAATTCACAATTTCATAGCGCTATCAATGTCATCAGGTCAGATTAAAATGCTAATCGAAATGTCTGGGTTTGATCAGGTTGTTCTGTGGGGTGAATGAGATGTACTGCATCTTCCTCGGGAGCCTCAACAATCTGTGCTCCCTCAACAGGCAGTATGGTTTGTCTTCCTCCAAAGGTGGGAACAATGAGGCAATGCTTGTGATCGAGGCTTATCGGACCCTCCGAGACCGAGGCCCATACCCGGCCCATCAAGTCCTCAACGATCTCGAGGGCAGTTTCGGGTTCGTCATCTACGACCACAAGTCTTCAACCGTTTTTGCTGCTCTGGTAATCAACCACACAACTTCATATCTTCATTCCCCATTGAAGAAAGATCTGAATGCTTGATTCTCCCTGATAGTTAATGAATGTGTACTCTCCTTAATAGCGCCTCGTTTGTATCGACTGATATGTGAGCAGGGCGCGAATGGGAGCTTGAAGCTGTACTGGGGAATTGCAGAGGAGGACGGATCTGTCATGATCTCAGACAATGTGCAAGTGATCAAAGATAGCTGCGGCAGATCCTTCGCGCCCTTCCCTAATGGTATGCTTGCATAAAACAGTCCATTCACTGCTTTCCTAAATCATTTCCCATGCGAAAATGGTACAAAGATTAAGGTTTCGTTTGGGAATAACATTTGTGAATTGTGATTAGCCATGAAGTTAAACCTTGAAGTTAATGTCAAACAAAGCCTACATTTTTGTTTTGGTTGGTGTAGCTGATCCATAACCATAAGTTACATGAGATGAGGATTTGTTGTTTTTGAATGGATCATGAGAGGACAAAATATGAAGTTTTAGTTGAAGTAAAAGTGACATTAATGTTGTACAATAGAGTTTAAGAGACTGAAAAAGAAGGGGAAAATGGATTGCAGGATGTATGTATCACAGTGAGAAGGGGCTGATGAGCTTTGAGCATCCAATGAAGGAGGTGATGGCAATGACCAGAGTTGACAGTGAAGGTGCAATGTGTGGAGCCCTCTTCAAGGTTGACCCTCTCTCCAAGTCTGCCCCCACCATCCCTAGGGTTGGAAGTGAAGCCAACTGGACCATTTGAACCATTTTATATTTTGCCACTTTCCTTTTTTTCTTTCTTTTTTTTATTTAAAACAATCTTGTTGTCCCCTTATCTGTTTCCATGGTGGATGTATATAGAGTACTTGTTTCCACCAAAGATGTTCTCTTTTTTATTTATTTTCTATTTTTTCTTTGAATGCAACGTTTGCTTACTTTGAATCCTCACTCTCAACTGTAATGCTTATCAATGTGCATCATGCCATAATTATTATTCACTCCGTTTCTTAAAATAATTCCTATTTTGACTTGGGAGGGATTTATTTTCGTAGTTTGGCCTTCTAATTATATTCTTATCATCGAAGAAAAAAAAGAGATAAATCATTTATATGACTTATTATATCAATGCAAATTGAATGAAGTATATTGCGACGACTTACCTTAGATATATGAGTCATTTTTTCCAAAAATAGAAGTGTTTTAGGGAAAACAAAAAAATGAAAGAGAAATTGTTTTAAGAAACAGAGGGAGTAGTTTTGGTTTAAAATGATAATTGCACTCTAATTTTTGCTATCGACATTCTAAAATACACTATTATCATTAGAAAGTTGAATATTGCATTTTGAAAGGTGCCAATAACTAAAATTAGAGTGCAAATATCATTTTGGCACAACATCTTGAACAAAACTTGTGCTACCCCAAAGGTGTGAACGGTTTGATCACAAAATTCATGCTGACAAAGCCACATTAAAAATTTGAATCAAATCGATAAGAGAAAATGTGAATTTATGTAGTTACCTACATAAGCATTTGAAGGCTGCACAAAATTGATGGTTTCGAACACGACGAGCGTCGAGTGCGGATAACATGATGTCATTAGTAAATTGTATTTTCGGATGTGTTCAAAAAAACTTGTCAAGTCTTCAATTGGAGTGGGTAATATAGAATTTATATGTTAGAACTGGCAATATAGAGTTGGCAAGCATATGATACTATATGAGAAAAACAGTTTGGTGGGAAGGATGAGTTTGACTTTGAGTTTTAGTTTGAGTTTTGGGCTTCGGCAATGGATTAGCTGGCCAGAGATAGTCAATTTCACCGATCTCGGGTTATCGATTATCAATTCTTCGCCATAATAGTCTCGCTAGTCTAATCAATCGTGGGGGAAAACTAGGACAACGATTACTTTCCATGAATAGTGTTTTGTGTGGAGTGTAGATTATAAATGGGGGGGGGGGGTAATCCCTATGTAAACCCAATCTAAATTGAGCTAATACAAATAATATTATCATATTATGAAAATTATCTATTTTTCTTATTATCATTTTCTGTGCATCCATAGTTGGTGAGCTAAAATCTATCTATAGTTAACTTTGTTAGCTTATTAATCCTAACAGTGGATGACATTTTCTTTAAGGATAGTGGATGATATTTGGCGCAACAATTCTAAAAATAGAATTATGCATAGTCTACTATTTGAAGTGAGTATCATAATATAATTATACGATGTAATAAACTATTGGGCATAAAGTATGATAATTATATTATATTGTGCACAAACTTGAATATGCAATTGCTATATAAACTATAGCAAATTTTGTGCACAACGGAAATTATAGCGAATTTTGTTTTTCGTCTCTATAAACTTTAATATTGTGCGTATTTTGTTTTCGTCTCTCTAAATTTTTTAAATTCCAAAGTGATTTGATTTTTGGTTTCAATACAACCTTACATATAAACTCTAAATTGGTGGGAAGACTATTCACTATATATATAGGGATGTCTTTAACTAAAAAATATTTTAGAGAGATAAAAAACAAAAGTAACAAATCTACGGATATTCAAAACATAATTAATCGAAAATTTATTTTTTTGGATTGAAGGAAATGTGCCCTGTCCAAAATGAATGGTAATTCCAGTGGGCTATAAGCCCCTAGTCCATTATAAGCCCAAAAAGAAAAAAAAAAAGAGAAAACTTGCAGTAACCCGAAAGTGCCTTCACGCCGAACTCCACTCGTCGGAAACTCTGAAATCCGAAGACGGACCTCCGTCCCGGCCTCCCGCCCGTTCCTTCGCCTTAGCCTGACAGCTCGCGGCGGTTTCTGGTAAATTTTCTTCTTATTTTAACTTAATTTTTACCTGCGAGAGGAACCGAAAAAACACAACCCTAAGAATCAGTATCTTCGATTGAATCGATTCTTTAAGATATTACAGAGTATCTTTCACCCAGCTTTTCCCTGAGCCCAACGCTATCGCCGCCGGACAACGCCTGAAGTGTCAGCAGCTCACATTGGTCATGGACGAAAGGATTAACAGGCAAATTTATTTTTCTCCAAAACGCTTCACTTAAAACAATGTTTTTTCCCTGATTATTTTGAAATATAAGTTAGTTTTTCTATCTTTAGGTTTTTTTTTGTTCACGTGCTTATAAGATGTTTTCCTAAATATTCAGTCAAGCTCCTCAGCTAATTGGGGTGTTGAAGGATATGAAAGAAGGTTTGGATACAGTGAGGTCCAAGGTGCAAGCTTTGGCTTCAAAGGTAATGAGCGTATGTTTATCTCAAGTCAGTATTCAATCTACCACTAGCATACTATTGCTTAGTTATGTTGAAGAATATAGCAAATCTTCCCCGATTTTGCTATGATTTGTTTTTTTATTTTGTGCTAATTTTTTGGCCGAAAGCATCATAGTTTCAAGAGGCTGGTTTATCGTCGATGGCACCAAATTTAGCTATTTTTAATTAGAAGAAGAAAAAGAATTGATGCATTCTTTCCTTAGTGGACCGGTTACATTTTCTCTGTTGCACAATGCATTTTGTTGTTTATGGTGAGGTTTCCAGAAAGCTCTGGAGCCCAATCTGATAGGATAGACAATGCAAATTATGCTTTTTGTGTAAAAGAAGGCTAGGAAAGATTGGCATGGGTTGTTGCTATCATATTTTGTACCGTGCGATAAAATTTATTCTGGTTTTTCTTGATGAAAAGGGGATTAGTTGATGTATTCATTTCTCTAATATGAAAAACTGCATTTCTTTTGGTAGGTGAAAGCAAACCAGTTTCCTACATCAGACGGGATAAGCTATCTTGAAGCCAAACATTTGTTACTTCTGAACTATTGTCAGTCACTGGTCTATTATTTGCTTCGTAAGGCCAAAGGACTATCAATTGAAGGACACCCAGTCGTTCGCAGTCTTGTAGAGATAAGACTTTTTCTGGAGAAGGTAGTGCAGTTTCTAAAGACTCCAAGTGGTCCAATCTGATTTTCGTCATGGCGTAATAAAAGACCCTATGCAATCTTGAAGACGTAAAATAGTAATTGCGGATCTTTTTAAAGGAAATGTGCACTCTCCACTTTTTTCTGAAAGGTGTACAAATAAAATTTGTTTTCTTTATCAGGCTAGTTAAATTTAAATGACTTTTATAACTTGGACAGCAAGAAAAGAATTTGAAGGTTTAGAGGATACAAATAAAAAATTAACAACTAGAGACAAGAAACGACAAGAGAAAATTGCCATTTATTTAAGTTGGAGCGGAGAAAACTGTATGGACCCCTCCTCCTCCAGTTGTTGATTGGGTGGGTTAAGCCTGTTGGAAAGCATATGAGGTGTGGGGAGCAAGGAAGTTATTGATGAAATAAGGGGATATTTGGAATAAACCTTAAGAGTATGTTTGGATATTGAAAAATAACAGGGAAAGGAAAATGAAATGTGACTAATGTTTTTAAAAGTTAACCAATAGTTAGATTTCTTAGTCTTTACATAATTCATTAATACAAATAATTACGCCGTAACAAATATTCCGTATATAAAATGTTTATTGACTTTTGGCTTAACTTTTATTTCCCCCAACCCCAAGTTTCCGTTCCTGTTTTGTCCCCATAGAAACCATTGGATTTCTCCCATTAAAGGATGCAAAGTTAACTGGCTATTTTATAAAACCTATTATTGTGTGTTTTTTCAACTTTGTGTGTTGTGCAGATTCGTCCCATAGATAAGAAGATGCAATATCAAATTCAGAAGCTCACTAGAGAAACTGAAAATGCAGCTGAAAAGAATCTTTCTACTAGCAACGGATCAGATCAAGCTCAGGAGGATCTGTTGAAGTATCGTCCCAAACCTGAGTTGCTGACTAGCAAAAGAATACTAGAAGTGAGTAATTAACATTATATGAACTGATGTTTTTCATTGTTTGACAACTGACCAGTAGAATCTCATTAAATTATTGATCTCCCAAGTAATTGAAAAGTAAATGACACATACTGTTAGGCTTCTCTTTAAAGTATGCACACAATGTGACCAATAGATTCTCATTCTCATTCTCTGCCATTTGCAGGACTCAGATGGTATTTATAGACCTCCAAAGCTTGCTCCTGCCGTCATGGATGAAGGCAAGACATCAAGACAAGAGAGAAATGCCTTGAGAAAGGAGAAAGAGATGCTTCGACAGTCTAAACAGAGCACTTATGTGAAAGAGTTGATGGATGATATCGAGGGAAGACCCGAAGAGGTTTCTGGCCAATCTGTTATTTACTACGGAATACTTAATATGGGATTGCTCTTTTCGCCTTAATTTTAACTGTAGCTGGATGCAGTAGTAATTTTAACAAAATCTAGAGATGGGAAACTGGAAAGAAGCTGAAGTCTGGTCGAGATAATTTGAATATAAAGTCAAAAAGTTTAGGCTCTATATTTTTTGGTTTTAAGTGACCTACTTGTGTTTAATTGCATCTAATCGTGAAAATTGCAGTGGAAAGAGATGGTTGGAGCTGAGAATAGAGAAGTTAGACGGTATATAGATAAGATGGAAAAACGCGGTAAAGAGGAGGAGGATCTTTTCACTCGCGCACCTCTCACAAAATCGGAAAAGAAGCAAATGAAACATCTGAAGAAGTCACGAAACGGGTAATACTTATAAAGTTGTTCTTTCTGATTGATATATGATCATTCACGAATTAAGCTTGACTTTTGTGTGGTGCTATTGACTTGTAGTACTTTGGTTAAGCAATTTGCTTTCTTGTTGTGAGCTGGCAGGCTGCTTGGTCTGACTGAGAGTTTTAATGATGAGTTCTTAACTTCGCCTTTCGAAGAAGGTGTTTCTGATCCATCAACAGACTTGGGAGGTATACAAAAAAAGCAGCAGAAGAAACGTAAGGTAATTGTGTAAAATTGATGATTCATTTTTTCTCTAAATTTAGTTTTTGCATTGACAGAATATGATAAATGCTCATCTCCAATCTATAAGAATTTGCAAGTGCTTTTATTGTTGGGCGGGCAACTTTTATATTATCAATATAACTTATTTTAGAAACTATTTATTTATTTATTTATTCAACTTGATACTCGTGTACCGTACTAAACTTGTTTAAACCACCTAATTTTTATTGGAAA